GCGTACAGCGTTTCATTCATTTAGCTTGAGATGCATTTATAAGCAGAGCCAAAGGAAGCGGTAAACGTTTCTCTAGTATAGAACCATTATGTACACGTTCCATTAATTCTCCCGTTTTATAGGACAAAGGTTCATAGACATTTTCCGGTGCTACTACTGGTTTATTATTTAAAGTTCTATTCTCAGTTAAAATAGAAATTAAAGATCCCTTTATGGGTTTAGCATTATTGCTGTCATTGATAGCTTTTGGTAATCTTTTACAACTTCACTGGGTTCCTTAACTTCCTTTTTAGAAGCTGTTTCATCTTCTTCCTTTTTCTGTTGAACTTTACGTTCTATAGCCTCAAATTTTTCCACCACTTCGCCTAATTTTTCCACAACCAAATTTTGTGTTTCTTGATTTTGTTTAACCAATTCTTCCTTAAGTTCTTCTACTTTTTCTCAAGTAAATCTTTAGTTTTTTCCAATTCTTTTTGAGTTTTCTTTAACTCTTCATTTTCCTTGTTTATATTCTTCTTTGGCTACTTCTTCATCCTTTTTAATGGCATCATTGTCTATAGTTTGGGGTTGTACTTCCAATATACTATCAGTTGAAGTTTTTTTCTCTACAATTTGCTTTTCATATTGTGGTTGTAGAGGTTTATTTGGGACATCTTTCATTTCAGTTAAATTATTTGATAATTTTTTTTCCTCAGTCATAACTTGAGGTAAAACAACTGGCAATTTATTCTCTGGCTCTTTATTTGGCAACTTTTCCTCTACTTTCTCTTTTGTCTCAATAAGAGGATGGGATTCATCTACTGGCAGAGGTGGAGGTGAAGGCTTTTCTTGTGTGATAATATTTGATTGATTAACAGTATCCTTTAGTTCCTTTTCTTTCAACTTGTTAACTATTTTTTCACTTTCCTCTTTCTTTTCTCTTTCTTCTAAAGCTTTTTCGATATTTTTAATTTTCTCATCTATAGACTCTTTGGCCAATTCTGTGGGTTTAAGAAAATCTTCCTCAATTTTTGGTATTTCCAAGTGAGATCCCGAACTTTTTTCATCAATAGCAGAAAGATTGGCATATGTACCCAATATCATGAGACAAAAACCACTTATGACTATAAACTGTGCCAAATTTCTTTCGGTGGTATCTTTTTTGATAATCTTTCTAAAACAAGCGGCCGGAAACATAATGCAAATAGCTACCCCGATGGTAGAGCCCACCAGACCAATGACCAATTCAACTGAAGGTATCATTAAAGCAATGCACAATGAAAAGGTAACAATAATATGGTAATAGCTTTAAATCTAGTTTCTGGTATATAACCAGAAGCATCAGTTTGGCCCTGTAAATAAGAAATTTATATTTTTTATGATTTTTCTTAAAAAACATATAAAACAAATATGAAATACCTTTCTATATAGCAAAGAATACAAACTGGCACGACAGGGAAATATAACCAGAGGAAAACTAAAAGCCACAGATAAAACGAAACCGATTTTTATAACATCACTACTAAATGAAGGTGATAAGTTCATTAAAATATTTCCTGCAAAGTAGTAAAAAATTGACGTAACATTTTTCAAACATTTCTCTCAAATAACTTCCCACTTACCCGAAAATGTTTGTGTACAAAAAGCCACATATCCAAAGAAACCAACAGCTATATAAACTAGAGTACAAATCCAGGTGGCATTGCGTACAATACCATTTAATTTTTCCAAACTTTGATTATTAATACTGGTAAATACCTCAAAGATTTGCCTAAAAACGAAAAACAAAACATTAATAAACTTATTTATAAAAAATTACAAAAACCAACTTACATTTGACACGATAAAGCCATACTAAATATAGGTAAACACTGCAATACACCACCCGGTTGCCAATATACCACTTTCTCCGTCCAATCATTATCGATTATATGCTTTTCAGATTCCAATATGATTTTTATCACCAAACAAACATAAAAACCTATAGATGCTGTACACACTGTCGATAAACTGTCAACATTTTTAAGCATACCCAATGGTATTATACAGAAAAGTGTAACACCACACATTAATAATGTACGCAAATGACGATGTTCATTTTCAAGGGAGAACATTTTGGTGACGATTTGCGGTCCCAAGTCGCCAACAACAACAAAATATGTAATACATGATCCCAAGAGATAACCAATAATACACAATTCCACTAATAGTTTACCAGATGTGCCGAAGGCATGAAAACCTGTAATGAGTTATAATGTGATATTAGTAATTGTGGTTGGTTAGTTTACGGGAGATATTACTTACCCAGAAACTCGAAACTTTTTCTTCGTGTTAACAGTGATGTTTTGATGAGATAGTGACAACAAACTCTTGTTATCCAGTTACTTAAAATGAGTAAAAGTGTTGCTAAAATAATGCCACACTATAAGGGGAATTAGAAAGTACATTAAATTTATATCTATCTATCTATCTATCTATCTATCTATCTATCTATCTATCTATCTATCTATCTATCTATCTATCTATCTATCTATCTATCTATCTATTACGATTTGCATATTTACTTCCAAAATGCAATTAATTCAAACAACAATAACTTGCTTTAAATTTATTATTTATTTTGCTTACCTTTTGAAAACAAAACGGCATTGCAAGTATGCCAACGCCAATAATACTGTTGGCTATCTATCTATCTGTCTATCTGTCTATCTATCTATCTATCTATCTATCTATCTATCTATCTATCTATCTATCTATCTATCTATCTATCTATCTATCTATCTATCTATCTATCTATCTACCTATCTATCTATCTATCTATCTATCTATCTATCTATCTATCTATCTACTATCTATCTATCTATCTATCTATCTATCTATCTATCTATCTATCTATCTATCTATCTATTATCTATCTATCTATCTATCTATCTATCTATCTATCTATCTATCTATCTATCTATCTATCTATCTATCTATCTATCTATCTATCTATCTATCTATCTATCTATCTATCTATCTATCTATCTATCTATCTATCTATCTATCTATCTATCTATCTATCTATCTATCTATCTATCTATCTATCTATCTATCTATCTATCTATCTATCTATCTATCTATCTATCTATCTATCTATCTATCTATCTATCTATCTATCTATCTATCTATCTATCTATCTATCTATCTATCTATCTATCTATCTATCTATCTATCTATCTATCTATCTATCTATCTATCTATCTATCTATCTATCTATCTATCTATCTATCTATCTATCTATCTATCTATCTATCTATCTATCTATCTATCTATCTATCTATCTATCTATCTATCTATCTATCTATCTATCTATCTATCTATCTATCTATCTATCTATCTATCTATCTATCTATCTATCTATCTATCTATCTATCTATCTATCTATCTATCTATCTATCTATCTATCTATCTATCTATCTATCTATCTATCTATCTATCTATCTATCTATCTATCTATCTATCTATCTATCTATCAAAGAATATTACGATTTGCATATTTTACTTCCAAAATGCAATTAATTCAAACAACAATAACTTGCTTTAAATTTATTATTTATTTTGCTTACCTTTTGAAAACAAAACGGCATTGCAAGTATGCCAACGCCAATAATACTGTTGGCTAAGGTCATCACATAACCTGAATTGGCCAACATCTTGAAAAATTCAAGGTTGAATGACGATTACCGGCTGCTTTTTTAGAGCAAAGCGACGAAATGCTGCCAATGACCCAATAAACTTTACATTGAAATGTCAGTTACAGAGGGAAAACTTTCACTTTTTGACCATAACATTAACACCCACACCTTGAAATTTGTTCCGGCAAAATCTTCCAGAAAAAAATGTTTGCACAAATTTACACGTACTTTATTACTCACTATATTTTAAGAAAATATTGGCAGTGGCAAGTGATAAGGAATGTTTTTTTTTTCAATACACAATAAAATATATTTTTTTATTAAAATTGTGCGATTCTTGATCTGATAATTTAGCACTGGTTTGTTAACGAGCAAAACAATTTTTTAGCATTTTAGGAAGGTGTTAAAAGTGTATTTACTTTAATTGATGAACGTTATGATAAATTTTGGTTTTGGTTCGATAAACATTAAACGAAAACGTCAGCAAAAACTTAATTATTTCTTGTCAACAACAAAAAGAGAAGAAGCGTACGAAGATACCGCTGCTGTATTTTTCTACCATTTGTTTTATTATTAAAATCTAAATTTTTTGTTTTGTTGTCATTTTCTTGTACGCAATTGGCGAAGATAAAAATAACGATAAATTATCAGAAAAAGTAGACGTAGAGATGAGAGTTACATATCGCAGCAGAAATAACGAAACTGGCAATTCGTTTAAGTAGGTGTTGCCATTTGTACAGTCATGTGCTGTTGACATATTAGATTTATAGCTGGCAATACTGTTAACAGTGGTGACAACATTGAAAAACAAAATTTTTTTACTCTGGCAATACTGAACCCTGTTGTTTTTCTTTCCGTTCTGTAAACCGAAACGTCAAGATGGCCGAGGTAATTTTTTTTACAAAAATCTTAAAAAATTTTAAACATCATAGTGAAAAAATTTTGATTTTAATAATAAATGAATAGTACATAGTGTTTTTAACAAGATGTAAATTAAATTTTAAAAAATTTCTTTAGATTTGTATGTTGGAAAGAGCGAATCATTAATCGGTATTTGTTATTTTATTCCAGGTTGATGAAACCCTTAAAAAGAAGCGTACCTTCAAAAAGTACACCTACCGTGGTGTCGATTTGGACCAATTGTTGGATATGCCCAAGTAAGTTTACTTTTATTTAAAATTTTGTGTGTAATATGGAAAATTAACCTTTGGTTATTTCTTTTAGCAACCAATTGGTTGAATTGATGCACAGCCGTGCCCGCAGACGTTTCTCCCGTGGCTTGAAGCGCAAACCAATGGCTTTGATCAAGAAATTGGCGTAAAGCCAAGAAGAGGCTCCCCCAAATGAGAAACCCGAAATCGTCAAGACTCATTTGAGAAACATGATTGTTGTACCCGAAATGACCGGCTCCATCATTGGTGTCTACAACGGCAAAGATTTCGGTCAAGTTGAAATCAAACCTGAAATGATTGGTCACTACTTGGGTGAATTTGTATTGACCTACAAACCCGTTAAGCACGGTCGTCCCGGTATTGGTGCTACCCACAGCTCCAGATTCATTCCTTTGAAGTAGATTTCAATCTCTCTTCTATGGGATGTTCCAACAACACCACCTCCTTCGTCATCTTATTACTACAAGTTTATGTCTGTTTTTTTCGTATGCTCAGTCCTCCCAACTAAATGCATATTGTATTTTTGTGAGTGGTCTGCTTGCTGTTTCTTCGTTAGTGGAGAAAAACATGATTGAAGAAATAAAGAAATTCTTTTTTAAGATGTAACTTAAAACAAAATGAACAAATTGTGTAAATTCAATTCAATACGGATGACTTTTCGGAAATGTTTATACCTAGTGTCAGTGCAGTTTTATTTTCAAAATCTAAAAGAACTTTAGTGAGTGTGAGACAATGACAAATATCTGATTAAGAGTAATATGGAATTTTTTATCTTGAAGCTGACAACGACAATGGGACAACATAAACCTTTTAACATTTTTTGAACTGAAGAAGATGTATAATTTTTAATATCAAGACAATCAATTCTTTAATAATGGAAAATAATTGTTGAAGGTATTTATTTTTTTATTATTTATGTAGATAGTAGTGTAACATGTTGGTTAGGAAAAGGAAATGTTTGATTCTGTATATGGTATTCTTTTAATAACAAAATTATTAAATTGCAATGCATCCTCCTGAATTTTTGGAAATATTCAATTTTTAAAGAATAAGCTGAAATCTTATAGACACATTTCAAAAGCAGGCTATATAAAGAAACAATACAATGAAGTAATGGCAAACGTGTAGGTAACAATTACTTCTAGTAATTCATTACAGTGTAAATCACAATTTGCAAAGAAGTCACATACACGCTAAGGACTAGGACTAAATTTACAATATGATTATAAGTTGAATAGTACGACTTATTATAAAAACCTGCACGGAGACTTGCATTTTATTGATTTTCATTAATCACAAAACATTTTGTTTATGTTTGGGCCTGTTCGAAAATGCATCACTTCACTGCATCAGGAGATTAGTTTGCGATGCTGATGCTTTATGCTTAGGGTTTTACTTTCGTTTAAAAGCGCGTAAATCAAAATATAAACAGAGAATGTATATATTCCTTATAACGGATTTAAAAATGTCATAGCACTGAAATATGAGAATCAAGTTTTATATCAACCGAAATCGTCTCTATGAAATTTTATGACAATTAGTCCATAATTGACCCTACCATCATGAAAGGTCCCTTTCAGAAAATTATTTTTTGAACGTTAAAAACTGAATTAAAAATGCCAGTATGGTAACGAAATGGGTAAAATAAATGCGATACTGGAGTTAAAAATTCAGTTTTTGTAAATTTATGGTTATTTCAAGCTTTTAGGTCAAGATTTCCTCGAGATGGGAAGATATAATAGAAGGAAGGTTTAACATTATTTAAAAGTCCATGGATTGAACTTTTGGCTTCAGCATTGCTCAATCCTTTAAAATATTATATGTAGGAGGCATGGAAAACAGACCAAACTATAGACTAGATTTTAGACTAGACTATACTATAAACTAGACAAGAATATAGACTAGATTATAGACTAAACTTCTGACTGGAATATAGGCTGGACTAATACTATGACAAAACTATAGACTAGACTATATACTAGACTATGTACTAGACTATAAACTGTATTATAGACAATGCTTTGGGCTATAGACTAGACTATAGACTAGACTATAGACTAGACTATAGACTAGACTATAGACTAGACTATAGACTAGACTATAGACTAGACTATAGACTAGACTATAGACTAGACTACAGACTAGACTATAGACTAGACTATAGACTAGACAATAGACTAGACTATAGACTAGACTATAGACTAGACTATAGACTAGACTATAGACTATACTATTGACAAGACTATAGACTATACTATAGACAAGCAAACGGAGAATGCCTATATTATTCATAACGGATTTAAAAATGTCATTATAGTACTGAAATATTAAAATAAATTTTAATATCAACCGAAATCGTCTCTATGAAATTTTATGACAATTAGTCCATTATTGACCCTACCATCATGAAAGGTCCCTTTCAGAAAATTATTTTTTGAACGTTAAAACTGAATTAAAAATGCCAGTATGGTAACGAAATGGGTAAAATAAATGCGATATGGAGTTAAAAATTCAGTTTTGTAAATTTATGTTTATTTCAAGCTTTAGGTCAAGATTTCTCGAAGATGGAAGATATAATAGAAGGAAGGTTTCACATTATATAAAAGTCCATGGATTTAACTTTTGGCTTCAGCATTGTTCAATACTTTAAAATATTATATAGAAGGCGTGGAAAACAGACCAAACTATAGACTAGATTTTAGACTAGAGTATAATATAAACTAGACTAGAATATAGACTAGACTATAGGCTGGACTGGAATATAGGCTGGACTAATACTATGACAAAACTATAGACTAGACTATGTACTAGACTATAAACTATATTATAGACTTGATTATAGACAATGCTTTGGGCTATAGACTAGACTATAGTCTAGACTATAGACTAGACTATAGTCTAGACTATAGACTAGACTATAGTCTAGACTATAGACTAGACTCTAGACCAGACAATAGACTAGACTATAGCCTAGATAATAGACTAGACTATAGACTCGACTAGACTATAGCCTAGACTATAGACTTGACTATAGACTAGACTATAGACTAGACTATAGACTAGACTATAGACTAGACTATAGACTAGACTATAGACTAGACTATAGACTATACTATAGACTAGACAATAGACTAGACTATAGACTAGAAAATAGACTAGACTATAGACTAGACTATAGACTAGACTATAGACTAGACTATAGACTAGACTATAGACTAGACTATAGACTAGACTATAGACTAGACTATAAACTAGACTATAGACTAGACTATAGACTAGACTATAGACTAGACTATAGACTAGACTATAGACTAGACTATAGACTAGACTATAGACTAGACTATAGACTAGACTATAGACTAGACTATAGACTAGACTATAGACTAGACTATAGACTAGACTATAGACTAGACTATAGACTAGACTATAGACTAGACTATAGACTAGACTATAGACTAGACTATAGACTAGACTATAGACTAGACTATAGACTAGACTATAGACTAGACTATACTATAGACTAGACTATAGACTAGAGTATAGACTAGACTATAGACTAGAGTATAGACTAGACTATAGACTAGACTATAGACTAGACTATAGACTAGACTATAGACTAGACTATAGACTAGACTATAGACTAGACTATAGACTAGACTATAGACTAGACTATAGACTAGACTATAGACTAGACTATAGACTAGACTATAGACTAGACTATAGACTAGACTATAGACTAGACTATAGACTAGACTATAGACTAGACTATAGACTAGACTTTAGACTAGACTTTAGACTAGACTATAGACAAGACTACAGACTAGACTATAGACTAGACTATAGACTAGACTATAGACTAGACTATAGACTAGACTATAGACTAGACTATAGACTAGACTATAGACTAGACTATAGACTAGACTATAGACTAGACTGTAGACGACTATAGACTAGACTATAGACTAGACTATAGACTAGACTATAGACTAGACTATAGACTAGACTATAGACTAGACTATAGACTAGACTATAGACTAGACTATAGACTACACTATAGACTAGACTATAGACTTGACTATAGACTAGATTATAGACTAGACTATAGACTAGACTATAGACTACACTATAGACTAGACTATAGACTAGACTATAGACTACACTATAGACTAGACTATAGACTAGACTATAGACTAGACTATAGACTAGACTATAGACTAGACTATAGACTAGACTATAGACTAGACTATAGACTAGACTATAGACTAGACTATAGACTAGACTATAGACTAGACTATAGACTGGACTATAGACTAGACTATAGACTACACTATAGACTACACTATAGACTACACTATAGACTAGACTATAGACTAGACTATAGACTACACTATAGACTAGACTATAGACTACACTATAGACTAGACTATAGACTACACTATAGACTAGACTATAGACTAGACTATAGACTACACTATAGTCTAGACTATAGACTATACTATTGACAAGACTATAGACTATACTATAGACAAGACTAGCAAAAGTTCTTAAGTTAGAAAAAGTACCGAATGAGTCGTGGTATTTTTATACCCTCCACCAGTGGCGATAGAGGGTATATATAAGTTTGTCGTTCTGTGTGTAACACCAAGAAATATTATTTAAGACCCAACAAAGTATATACAATATTCTGGGTCCTTATCAAATTCTGAGTCGGTTTAGCTATGTCCGTCTATCTGCCTAAAACACGCAAAGGAAA